TATATATATATATATATATATATATATATATTTTGTATGTTATATACAATTTTATACACTTTTTCGACTACTGAGTAAATATTTTCTGGCAGACACTTAATTAAAGGAAAATTATGTTTTTAACGTTCTTTAATGCACAAAAATAACTTTGTGACTTCACTGTTATAGGGGATATTCAACTGTTTTACTGTGAAAAAAATAGTTTGAATTGTGGATTGTCCCATTTAATACTCTTGCTGATCCTGTTCAATGGAGCTCACAGGGAAGCTTAATGAAAAACCTTTCTCCTATAAATAGGGGGTTAACCACACCCATGTAAAATGTTGTACAACAATCAAAAGCAATAAAATCTCTATTTGAACCATTTTCTCTAACAGAAAAGAGTATATTTACACAACTATACACTCTGATAATATCAAGCCTCGTGGAACTACCAAAGGAAACAAGAGAATTTTGGACTAGTCTCGCGGCAATCACCATGCTTCTATTGCCTTAATATCTATGCCGGAGCAGATAACCCTTAATGAGCTCCCTACCTAGACTGGAACCATGCAATGGTGATGAGAGACTACTCACATATCTTCACCTTACTACCTTTTTTTCTCTTATCAAAGATTAGCATCAGCTTTGTTACATCAAGGGATAGTTAAATATACCAAGATCCCAAGAAGAGCTGGCTCGCTTACTGTACTGGTTGTATAAAAGAAGGAAAAACTTTGGCAGCACAACTTCCATCATGCTTGACCAACAAAATTCCTAGAAGCTATATCTTGTGTAAGTTTCCAGCTTCAAAAGAATTGTTAACAGGCTATAATTACACGCCTCCCGCATCTGAACTGCTACAAGCTTGGTTTTGAAGGACATTACCTCCAAAATCTCCATCCAAGCTCATTTGTTGAACTTCTTGTGGAGAAAGAATCTTGATGCAGCGGACACAACTCACAAATTCCCTGAAGATATCATATGACAGTATAGAATATGTAAGTCAGAGGGCATAAGCTTCTTGTGCAGAAAATGCAAATGCACATAATTTATGAACTTACTCCCAAGGGTCATCACCAACCAGGAGAACATCGTTCTCGTGATCCACATATACAAGCTTCCATCCTATTCTTTGTCTGTCCTCCAGTTGTCCCTCTATACCAAATCTACGAGCCAAATCTAGCTTAAGTTCCTCATAGCCTGAGTACCGTCCGATATCAATTGATCTTCCCACCGCACCACGCTTGTACACCTTTGAGATATGATGAAAAAAAAAGGTTATAACTCTAAGAAACAATGACATCCAATTAAATCACCCTTACAAGGCTACCAACCTTGGTATAAGTCCGCATACGGGGAAGTTGAGACGGTGGGTCCCAGGCACCTCTATCCATGAAATTACCATCATTGATAGTAGAATCAATTGAATTAAAGGTCATATATTCGGAAGCCATTGAGGCCAAGAGTTCAGGCTGCACTTCCTTGGGGTTTTCATAGCTAGAGAGCATGCCTCCTCCTGATGAGAGATTGTCGGAGAAATCCTTCCTTGATCCCATTAAGCTTTTTGTGATCAAAGGATCAGGCATCATAGGCATCCCTAACTGATTTTCCATATTTGCTCCAAAAGCTATATCATTCCTCGAGTCACCCTGAACTTCCCCGTCTGGACTATCTCTGAATATCAATGGCTGAGAACTGGAAGATAGTGGTGGATCTGTAGTCTGCTGCAAATGGACATCATTTTGGGAAAGGCAAGCTGAAGTTGCTGAAGATGAACTATCCAAATAATCCAATTGGTGTCCTGCAGTGTTAAGAGTTTGAGGTGCCAAAAACCCATGGTTCTGGTTCTTGGAGACGTTTATTGACGGCTTAACATCAGTTTTTTGTTGCAACTCTTTAACCAGGTTGCTATTAGCAGACATAACTTCTAATCCACTCGAATTTAAAAGGGGTCCAGAATAGTGGGTTGTTTCATCCCGCACACCTGTGCTTTCATGGATTCGACCATTCAAATTTTGATGAACTACATTTTGACAGTTGTTAGTGGACACTGAGGTGGACCATGATGGGACTTCATCCATTACAGGCTGCCCTCCGCCTGCAGTTCTTGTTAAACTACTACCGTTTGTGGTAAGCTGACAAGTCGTTCGGGGTAGAGAGTATCCAACTGGTCCAGATAGGTCTGGTAAGATTCCAGATTGCTGCTGCTGCTGAAGCTTTGGTTGCTGAGTTGGCTGGACAAACCGAAGATTGGACTGGCTATTTGTTCTTGTCATCTGCTGCTGCACAACCTGCGAGTGGGAAAGTGAAGTGGAGGTGGACGTGGTTTGTGACGCATCCAACATTTGGCTTGTTGCCAGTGACCTGGAAAAGTTCTGCGATACATCCAAGAACTGCTTCTGCTGATCCTGGATTGACCCAAGATGCGAAGATTGCTGTAATGCAGATTGTTGTGCTAGAAGTGATTTTTGTTGCTGATGCAGTTTCTGTAGAAGTTGAAACTGTGCTTGATTTTCAGAGAAGTGATGTTGGTTAACTGGATCTGGGGGCTGGGACGACATGAAATTTTGCTGCTGACTTTGACTCAGAATCTGTTGTTGTGGCTGTTGCTGCGGTAGGCTCTGAGGGAGGTTTCTCTGCTGCTGGTTTTGAATTGATTGTTGCGGCGGAAGAACACTCTGAGATTGCACAAGACTCTGAGCTTGCATAAGTTGCGCTTGAACTTGGGTTGTAGGCAGTGATTGATTAGTTGAATTTTGCCTTGGTTGCTGGCCGATATCATATAACTGTTGCTGTGATTGCATAATTGAATCTAATGAGTTGAGTGTTGCCGCTGGTAACTTCTGGAGCTGGTCAAGCTGTTGTCCCTGTTGGTTTGGCCTATGAAACTGCAAGTTATGCTGCTGCTGAAGTTGAGGTGCTGGCAAACCTAGCTGACGTGATAGGTCCGCTCCAGCTAGGTTTTGTAGAACAGAACCAGATAGGGAATTCAAGTAGTTGGACATCATCGGGTTAGTCAGAGAAGGGTTTTTTTGCATGTTCATCCATTGGACTAAGCTAAGACCGGGCAGACCTTGAGGATCTGTCATGCCAAAGTCATCACCAAGCCATGGCATTGTCCTCCTGAATACACCATCCATATCAGAACAATCACCATCTGCAAAAAAGTAATAGATCTCTATTGATTAAGAATTTGATAGTTAGTATATTACATATGCAAATGACTGTTGAGTTGAAAGCATCCTTTCTAGCAGATGTATATTTCATATTTTACGTCAGCATTAGCTTATCAGAAAAACTTCAGTATTCAAGGACCACAACAAAGGTAACTTGGAGTTCAAAGTTTCTTTATTACTTTTGTCGCTTAAAAAGGTTCTCCTTCTTTTTTTTTTTTTTGGGGGGGTCAATTTTCTGTACAAATATCACCTATTTATAACTAGGTTAATCCTTACTATCTTGTTGTTTTTATTCTGCTTTTATATGACTTTTTGGTACTGTCCCTTCTTGTCTATATTTTCATTAACGTGGTGCTTATGCTTTCTTGAGCCGAGGGTCTAGTGAAAACAACCTCTCTATCCTCACAAGGTAGGGGTAAGGTGTGCGTACACACTACCCTCCCCAGACCCCACGGTGTGGGATAACACTGGGTATGTTGTTGTCGTTGTTGTTGTTATAACTAGGTTAATCCTAGGTCCACCTCCTTGTAACCGGTAAAAACATTCTGATCAAACATTCTCAGAGGAAACCTTCATAAAAAGACAAGTCCGCATTGGCCGGAAACAAGAGGCAAATTCTAACTGCTCCACATTAACTTTTATTAAATGGAATTCTGTTAACAAATTGCTCAACTACCTGGCATTCCAGGTTGCCTTGGACGCTTGGAGCTGAAGAACGGACTAGAACAGATTAAAAAGGGTGCTGTTATAGGTTCAATCTCCCAAATAGACACTCGGTTGATCCTTTCCCCAGCAGTTGACTCATCCCAACCGACCTAATCAAGATAGGTGTCAGCTGAATAAGTTGGACAAGTTAGGGAGGAAATTAGAGAGCGATAGCTCCACTTTTTTTCTACCTGCAAGTTCCTCCATTGAGAGTTCTTCCACCTCACTGGATCCATATCACTGATGCCAGTAATTGTTCCCATATACCTTCTAGTTCCAGATTCTTCTGTCTCAAACATCATGCGAAACCTCATGCCAAGAGATACCTGACTGCTATAAGTTGCTTTGTAGTATTTTGCTAAAGGAATCACAAATTCAGAAGGACCAGCCCTGTTCATATTAGAGGCTAGACTGTAAATCTCATGATAGGAAATATCATCAAGGACTGAAACAATGGTAGCTCTTGCGGTTATTGATGCACATATAGACCTACACAAAAATAAATACACTGACCTTGGGTTATAAAACACAGTGAAAGGGCTGTTGTTTGCAGCTGCATGAGCTGCCGCTGCTAGGATGCCAATATGCATGCTATCACTTGACAACACTGATGACGATAAGTTGGTCGGCTGCCTGTTTGCCTTTCTAATTCCTAGTTGAAACTGATGCTTTTCATCCCTATTGACAAGGATTAAAGGGCGACAAGTAAGATTAAAAGCAAATGACCGAGTAGGAAGAGAGTACGACAAGTGTGTAGGTTCTGTTGAAGCCTAAAATACCCTTTTATGGTTTATCATGGAATGTACTTATCTTTCCATTATAGTCTATAATTATGACTACATTTGCCTGTTCCCAGATTTCAAAATTCAGAGACAATATTTCATGGCGGCATATCATTGCCATTTTCATACCTAATAAATAAGACCGAGTCACCTGCAAAAAGCCTTTTTCCGCTCACGACAAGGCTCCACCCTGTTGTTAGCAAGTGTCGTTTGGGTTGCCCTGAATGATGAGAGATAGGTAAGACACCGGAAAAATGCATAATTCTCTTTCAGCTATACTCAAGCTCATGAACCCACATGTAACTGCTAAATAAACCTACCTCGATAAACATGTCTAAAGGTCCATACGTTATCATGCAAGTCTCTAGCCACAAGTTCTTGAGCAGGTGGTTGCAGTGAGTAATCCTGATTATAAACAAGTAGTGTGTTGCACATATATAGAAACAACAGATAGAAACTTTAAATAAGAAAATAAAGGATCTTACCAGAGGAGGAAATATTTTCTCTGCTGCGCGTCGAGGCACAGAGAAACCTCCATGAGTGCTTGTATCACTTGCAGTCAAGGTCTTGCAAAAAAACTCTGGTTGTGGTTTATTTACTTTCATAGACAAATCTGACCTCAGTAATGCCTCCTTATCGAACTGCATGTGAAAAGGTCACGCCAACTGAGTTTTACATTAAATTAGAACAGGCTATACTTAGAAAGGAGAGGAAAACAACAAGATGAAACAACGAAAACAAAACAAAAAAAGGACTATTGAAGATATCAAGGAAGAGCCATACTGAAGGAACTGGTTGCAGTGTCATTTGGGCATACACTTCATCTGTTTCTGGATCAGCCTAAGTAACAAAAAGGATAATCGTTTTCTTAAAGCAAATAAATTGACGCATGACAACATTTATCAAGACAAGTCAACTGTGAACTATACATACATGCAGCGTAACATTGTGAAGAAGACAAATTAACTTTGACGGGAGATTTGGATAGTTTGGAACTTGAGCTTCCACATCTTTCTTGATAGACGCTGCAACCTGAAAATATACATGCAATAGTAAACAACAAATAATCAAGAGAGTTGACTCTATGGATTGAGAACGAATCGTTCCAAATGCGGAAAACAGATTCAGTTCTAGAACTGATAGTAATGTATAACAATAGACATAGAAATTACACATTCTTCTCATTTAGTTTAGCAACTTCAAGAAGAACATAGATTGACACTCACTTTTATCAATCCTAACTAACAAGAATAACTATATGCTCTTCTTTCAGCCATATGATACTTGGTTCTGTTATACTTGTAATCAATTTAAAGTCCCACCCCGCCACCTCCTAGAAAGGATTGTCTACAAGTTTTCGTTATGAGAAGACATTAAAAGAGTAACCAGCTTTGCTAATTGAACAACACTACTATCTCCATGTAGCCTAAAGTACAGAAAAAGCCCTACCATGTAAGTACAGTCGTGCAACACAACAAAACAGAGGCAGAGCCATGATTTGAAGCTTATGGGTTCGCGATTCCAAATCTCTTAAGTTACTGGGTTCTACGTTAATAATTTATACATATTCAATGAATTTCATTAGACAAATACATGATTTGGACCAACGCTACTGGGTTCGCCGAACCCGTACTATTCTCCCTCTGCCCCAGAACAAAAAAGATAAAAACGCAAATTACTAACAGAAAATGGACACGGAAGATACAATGCATACCACTAGTTAAATCAACAGTAACAACCGCGAAGTTACCAATACATGAAGTCAGTGATTAGGCTACACCCTGCAGCAACCCAGCCAAATGACATAATAAGGCGAATCTTAAGCAGGAACACCATACTAGCTCATGTTAGCAAACAGCCATAAAGATGCATATACAACTACACAAAACCAGTAAACAAGAAGGTAAAAAAGGTTAAATGAAAGACCTGTTCACTGTGGCCTTGAGGGAAGTAGACAACGTGGGTCCCAGCGACCGGCAAGTTCACCAGAGGTCCGGCGCAAGCTTGCCATAGCTCTGGGTTTATTCTCTTCTTCTCATCTGCTAACAGAAACCCCCCACCAGCCAATTCACAGCAGTTCATTAGTTATAACCACCTTCGTTCTCAAGAAAATCAAGGATTTAACTTATATACATTGATAACATAACAATTTTCCAATTCAACATAGTTTAACATGCTGTAACTGGTAAATCACCAATCCACACTTACTACACGCATAAAATGTAATTAATTTTTAATTAATCTGGTAGTGTAAAAGATCTTGTCAGCATATTAGGGGGTTGAAAAAAGAGAGCTTTTCTCATTCTTGCTAGATTCAAAAGCTATGAAAAGGTGAATCTTTTTCTCTCCTCTTTTAGTATCAAATTTTCCTGGAAAATTCACTGAAGAAAAATATCCAAGTTTGACTAGTACCTCCACCCCACGTGTAAGCAAGACAGTTGGGGAGTCTCTACTCAATAATTTTCTTGTCATTGGAGGAAAAAAGATAGGAAAAATTAAGAATAAAACAGAAAGGAAAATCATATTTTCCCGGAACTGAAAATCCTTAAAAACAAGTAAAAGACAAGAATGAAAAGAAAAAAAATGTCTTTTTGATTCTGTTATTCTTACAATGCCTTTGTGTATAAGACAGAGAAACTGACCTTCATTGCCAGAAGCCTGCTGAGTTCCGGCACCTGCACCGTTTGCCGGCGTCTTCATTTTCACTTATTCCGGCGACTCTTTTTCCAGCTGAAATGAGCACCCCAAAATAAACCTCACCGGAGATTCATCTCGCCGGTATCAAATCGGAGTTGCACTGACCCCACAAAAAATCCCAGCTCGAACAAACTAAATAATGAATCAAACAGAAATGAATACTATTTCTTCTCCTTTACATCTCTGAGCTCAGAAAAAAAGTAGTAAAGGAGATAGCAGGTGGTTTCCGGCGGCCGGAAGGATAATATTCCGGCGAAAAAGGTAGCCGGAAAAAGAGAAAAGTTTTGTGTTTGTTTAGATATTGGAGTAAAGAAAAAGTGGAGGGGACAAAGAAGCTTTGGGGAAAGGAGGGGATGTTGAGGAATACAGAGACCAAATGCTGCACTTTCACTTTTAAATTGCCCCCTTTTCTACACTACACCTCCCAGACACACTATGTATTTTCTTTTTTTACCTTTCTCGTTAATACAAAGCAAGCTTTTTTTTTTACTTTGTCCATGTCTTTGTTTGTTTATTTGTTCTGCTACTGTACTCATCAATTATATGTCTCTGTTTTTTTATTGTCTCTTTCCCTCTAACTATCTCTATCTCTGTTTATTAAGGTGGCCTCGCAAAAGTTTGACCATTGAGCTGAAAGAATGGCCAACTTGTCATATTTCTTTTTAAACTAGAGTCCGGAATTAAAATGTGGTTCTTTTGGACAAGTAACACCTTAATAGGTGTAAAAAAAAATGATATTTTTATATATAGCGCATTAACGTTAACTGTGCCGTTAATGTATAGCGCCGAGTATTTGGGCGCTATATATAAAAAGCTGTCACGCCCAGGTATAGCGCCCAAATACCCGGCGCTATACCCCCTTTTTAAAATAATTTTACATATTTACAGATATTTTCATCAGAAGAAGAGGGGAAAAAACATATCAGATGGAATTTCATAAAAAGAAAAGAACATAAGAAAGTCATAAAAATCTTATTATCTGTTACAAGTACAGATAGCAACAATTTTAAATAACGAACCTAACTTTGAAAAAGAAAAAGAAAAAGTCTATCCTTTTAATTTTCATTAAAAAAAATACAAGAAAGACATAAGTATAAGATATCTATCCACATATAGTTTGAAGAATTTGGCATGCCAACGATAACTTTCTTTCTAATTTGAAAAAGAAGTGATAAACAACAATGCTTTCTTTTTGTGCTAATGAAAGGGATACTTTATATTAAAGCATAAGAAGTTTAGTTATTACATAACATAGGGTAGATCATATAGCGATTGCCGCTAATCTGTCTTTATTGAAAGCATATAAAACAAAGTACGGAGGAGTTTTCCAAAATATTGTATTGTCTCCCTCCATTGTCCTTCCACTCTCCACTGCTGGCTGCTGGCTGTTGCCCTGTAAGAAGGATCCCCTAACCCATCCAAGAAGTTCACAAAAGTTGATTAGCGAAGAAAAGATAATTTTTTTTAAAAAGCAAACAGTATAGCTAGGGAAAAACAAAATAGAGAAAATAGCTCATCAAAGAAATAGTAAGTAAATGCATAGCCGTTAGAACCCAAGCCCAATATCTGCAAAAGAAAATAAATTACCTATATCACTTTTATATTTTTTTTTTAAACAAAAAAACCCGCACAACTGCACAAGCAAATAATGAGAACCAGAAGTAGACAAGGTATATGAGGAGCAATTAGTTAGCAGCTATATGTTCTCTTCCATGGAAACATATATATTATATAGGATTCTTGAAACTGAACTGGTTTTTGGAAAACAAAACATCATCATAACGGTTTAGTATTAAAGTCTCTTCCTTTAATGCATTTAGAAAGTTTATTATTTTTTCAAGAATTCCTAAAAACGAACTGTTATAATAAACGGTTGTTTATTAAAGTCTTCCACTTTAAATGCATTTATCTATATAATGTATTACATATTGTATTAAAATGAGAGAAAACTCTAAAAAATATAAGAAAATAGATAATTGCATTTCCTAGATGAGGAGATGTGCCACATCAGCTTTTTGCTGAAATGGAGATTTGATAAGATAGAAACCCTAACTAACGAGCGAGAAGAGAGAAGAAGAGCATGATGNGAAGAGTGTACGAGTCCGAAGTGCCGTTTCATTCAAGGGAGATTCCTTACATTGATAACTTGCCAACCGTGCCGGATGTGGAAGCTCTCACACGCAAAGCATAGCGTGGTCAAATATTACGTTATGTGTGTATATAGCGTGGTCAAAGAGTACGTTATGTGTGTTATCTTGTCGAACTGAAAAGGCTGTCCAACTGACATAAAGCTGTTTCGTACCTGTCGAAACCTTTAACACGCAAAGCATAGCGTGGTCAAATATTACGTTATGTGTGTATATAAATTAGGATATTAACAGACAAATTTATATTTTTTTATAAAACACTAATATTAAATCCGGATAAATTTAACATACTAGTTTCGAGAAGAAGAACCGGATATAAAATATTGAGGAAGAAGAAGCAGAATGGTCGTCTTGAAGAAGACGGCTCGTTTTTTAAAAAAAGGGGTATAGCACCGGGTATTTGGGCGCTATATATAAAAATGTCATCTTTTTTTTTTATACCTATTAATGTGCTACTTGTCCAAAAGAACTACATTTTGGTTCCGAACTCTTTTAAACTACCTAGTTTAGAGGTGAGATGAATAGGATTTATAACCCTTTGGATGGTTGTTATTTAGTGTATCGTATCGTATTATTAGTTTTAATATAATATTTATTTTGAGTGTTACTTAAATTTTATTGTATCGTATCGTTAAATTCGTTATTATGTAACGACAAAAAGTATTACTTTATATAATGACTGATTGAATGTGATTGCGTCCTTACCTTATTTTTTTCTCTCATCTTGCCTTTCTTATTACTAAATAAATGTATTTTATTAGTTACCCTACCTTTTTACGTAATTAATTTATTTCTTATCCTACTTTTCTTGATAATATTATAAAGTTATTCTTCACATTGTGGGGGCGTTACATTATAAAATAACAAACGATACAATATATCCAAATGTTGTATTCATCAAAATAATACAGTATAATACGATATATTATAAAATGATATGCAATAACATCCAAACAAACTGAGTATAATAGAAAAAGTTTAATAGGGAATATTCTTCTTTAATGAATCTTATGCAATAATAAATTCAAATTAATCGGAACTACAAAGCGAATACCAAACACCATAAAACAAGAAAAAGTATATTTCTTTTTGTTTCCACTTGTTTTTCTTTTTTATTCAATCTTTTTCTTTTCAATCTTCTTGGGATAAGAACAAATGTGTTTTTTTAACATTATTTCACATGATCAATGAAGGATCTTCAAATTTCCATGAATTCTCAAAATTACCCTTTTTATCAAGCATATGTCATGAATTGATCTACCTGACTACCTTATATAGCTATTAATGAAGTAAAGTGGAAGTTGATTGAGATAGAACTCGGAAGATTAAGGAAGTAAAAGCCTCTGTCCTTTTCAAAACTTGGGAGGAAGAGGAACAAGGATTTATTATTGCATCAAATAATATACTACGTATAAACTTTAGGGTATTACTAATGTGTGATTATAAATCGAACTTTAAATATTATTGAGAGGTTTCTAGAATATACTAGTACTTTTTTGCTTTATATACAATTGCTCCCATTTAAAAAGTGAAAAAACGAATTAATCGGTGTACAGTCAGACCTCTCTATAGCAGCATCACTATATAATAACACCTTATTATAAAAGCCAAGCTTTTCCAGAACAAATTTTCATGTTATGTTATAATATATATTCTCTATAACAGCACTTCGCTATAACATCCAAAATTATTCGGAACAAACGAGACTGTTATAAAGAGGTTTGACTGTATATATTAAAATCATTATCGACTACTTATTCTTTTCCACTCTACCTAGCACTCTTTTTTATTATTTTAAAAAATAAGATATTTTCATATTTTGAAATAATTAAACTTTGAATTTATTATTTACTCTAACAACATATTTTAATAGTCATAAAAATATCCAACATATTTAAGAATTTAAAAATCCTTCTTTAATTTTTTTTGTTGTACAATTCAACAAACTATACAAACATGCAATTTTCATGATCCAATTACGTACTTCGTCTGGTCCACAATAAGTGATTTTTTGGCTGTTTTCATACAGATTAAGAAATTTCACCTTTAACATTAATTAGCAATGAAATTGACCATATTAACCTTTACTATCTCTTCACATAAACACTCCTAACACATACTCCAACATTATTTACTCCAAGGACAATTTAAAAAAAATAATTAATTCATTATTGAAATCTGAAAAAATCACTATTTTGGACCACAAAAAAAAAAGCAAAAAATCATTTATTATTGACCTGAGAACTGAGAAGTATTACCGAAATAGCCTCTTGAAGTCCGCAAAAGTTTCTTGTTGGTACAATAATTATGCATAGTAAACTTCAGTCATTGGCACTGAAATTTACTGGCCAAAACATTGTTTTTTTTTTTTTTTGGTTTCCACCGGTGTTCGTTATTTGTAATGGAGCCCGATTATATTCAAATTTGTGCCGGGTAGAGCCTCATTCGGGTGGTAGCACTCCTTACCAAGGATTTTTCCATACCCAAGGCTCGAATTCAAGACCTTTAGTTAAGAGACGAGCAGACTCATCTACTGCACCACATCCTTTTGGTGGTGGATAGGAAAATTTCCACCGGGAATAATGCCTTCAAGCTTGAACTGTTGTGGTTGTATACCATCACTATCAGTCTATCACTTTCTTTCTGACCTTATTGCCCTCATTACTGATTACAATTACGGATCAATTGGTTATTTTTGTAGTGATTTTATTTTGTGCCTCACACAACTTTTATCTTATATATTTGTGGACTCATATCTTACACATCTGGTTCCACAAAATTCTGGGATCACACAGTTGTGAGACAAAAAAGAGGCCTCACACAACTAGTGTCAGTTGTGCGAGGCACAAAATAAAATTTTTCGTTATTTTAGGCTCTTTACAAACTTATTTTTAGTTTTATGACCTTATTCTTTTTTTACACATGAGAGATTTATTTTTACACGTAAAAGATTTGTCTTTTACACACAAGAGATTTAAAAATACCATTTTATTAAATTCAAAATTGTAAAAAGGTATGATGTCCAAATAGCACTTACTTACTACTACCACAATGACTACTAAATTCATAAGAAAACTAAAAAATTGACTACAGAATAAAATATGGCAACAAAATTTGGGGTTTATGTAGTACTCTTGTTATTATGTACATAGAAAACGAAAAAGCTTAAAAGTAACAAATAAAAAAGGGGGACATATATTATTTTCATTTATATAATTATCATTTTTCAGCAAAGAAACATATGTCATCCTCCTCTTCTTCTTCGTTTTTCCGGTCTTTACTGCTTACTGTGATTCTGATGATAGGCTATAATTGTATATTTTAGTCGCTTATTAC